TTGAAAAGTTGACTATTTTCCGCTAATTTATTACAACACATAATTTTCTGATCCTATCATCCTACATCGCTCTAACTACACAGGCCCATATGTAATCCAAGCTTTTATAGCTTACTGCAGAAAACTGAAAACTACGAAGTTATGGTGATTTCAAATGCCACGATATTTGTACCAATTTCCCTAAAATCAGTCACTGTGTTTAAAAGTTAGAAAGAAGCATACAAGGCAACATGGTGATTCCAAAAGTCTGCCTTTTAAAGAGAGGAAGGGAGCTAAGCAAGGTGCTGCAACTGTAGTGGTTACTCCTCTACTCACAGACGATGTTTACTCACACAGTCGTCATTTTCAAAACTAAAGAAGTGCCTGCTGTTCGTGACTCGCGAGCTCTCCTACTGTAAAAAGCCTCGCTTCACGTTCCTCTTTGTATCTCTATAGCTTTATGTGGCTCGTTTTCGTGTCAGGCGCCCCAGACATCCTATTTTTCTTGCTATGTATTATTTGGCCATTTCTCCATGCGAACATCAGAGCACACAGTCGTCGCTCCGAAGGTCAAGTTGCGAATCTACTGCACTGCTGAATCACAGAAGTGCAGCTGTACCATATCTGAATATGTGAGTTGAGGCTCCCATTACTTTAAATTCAGCGTTTAAATTATTATGATACGATATACTCAACGAGTTGGATATTTTCGCTTTATATGAAAAAATTACAAAATATAGAGACAAACGAAAAAGAATTTAAAAGTATATAACAGACGCTAAGCCTATAAGTGTCGTCAGTCTGGTAGACGAGGCGTAGGAAGACCAAGAAGGTAGAAGGAGAAGCAACATTATTAGAGGCCGGAACTGGCGATTCGCCTAATCTATAAAATGATGATGATGACGAATCAATAAATAAATACACCTACATAGCAACCAACAAATAGTAAAATTGTGGTATTTGATGTTCTCACAGGGGTGGTTATGATGAGTACTACCTTCTGAGATGTAACGCTGTGTAGTCCATTAGAAGTCAACGGACGTTTCGGAAAAACATATAACCTCCATCTTCAGGGTCGAAGAATAAGCCGAGTAAGATACCAGCATGAAAGTATGTGGCTTACATCGGCACGTAATCAACTCTCTACGTAATAGAAAGAGACTTTTGTAGAACTGTACCATATTTCGATGGAAATAAGCTTTATAGGAACAACTCAACAGACTAGGTGAATTACGGCTGTATTAAGGTACTTCAGTGCTCCATAACGCACTTTAAATCAACGGCACTAAGGACTGTTTGTGAAATCACCAGGTCTTCGAAGAGATTTCAAATGTGGCCATTCTTTCCCTGTGCATTTAAATACACAATACAATCGGAAATGTTGCATACTCCTGTACAGAAGTAATGCCCGCACCGTGTTTCGCTGAATCCTAAGAATCGAAGAAAGTTCTCAGGTTCTGAGAAAAAATCATTAAGCACGAACATCATTATAACCTCAGCCTAAAGTGCAACTGAGTAATTAACTCCATGGAGCTCGCTCCTTCTTGAAAAATCACCCGTCATTCAGCTACTCAGGAATTCCCCAGTATTTTATGGAAACCGAAATTTATTACAGTGTTCATACGAACCCGCCATTAGTCCATATCCTGAGCCGGATGAATCCAATCTATGGCACCCCATCCTCTTTCTCTAAGGCCCACTTTATTAGTATCCTTTCCTCTACGTGTAGTTCTTCGTGGTGGTCTCTTTCCTTCTGGCTTTCCCAGCAAAACACTATATGCATTAATGCGTGCTGTATAATTCTATTAAATCCGCTTTATTTACTTTATAAATAAACTATAAATTTTAATCGTTTCTGTCCCATAGCCACCCTTTAACACGATCGTGAAACTTGGTCTCTCGCCCTAAGAGAACATGGATTGGCTGTGTCTCTGAACACGGTACTGAGGAGAATATCTGGACCTACAAATAAAACAAAAACAAACTCTATGGCCTGTAGTCTGCAAGCGAACTATACCGACCGAGTGAACGCCGCTTGTCGGCGAAGTTAATGCCAAATTTGCGGATAGAGGGTGTCGCGTGGGCAGCACAACGGATCCCCACGGCCGTTAATCCCGGTTTTCTAGACCGGGGCCGCAATTTTCTTGAAATAGCTCTTCAGTTATCCTCACGAGGCTGAGTGGACCTCGTTCCAGACCCACTACTTCTCAGAAAATCTGGAGCTACAAGGAAGAGGAAGTAGTAGGATGACTGAGAAAATTAAGTAGTTTGGAACATTATAATTTGTAATCTACATGAAGCGAGGAAATAAAGCAGAATTAGAATGACAAGGCATGTAGCACAAATTAGGGAGATGCGTGTACACACAAGTCAGGATGCCAGAAGACAAGAGCCCAAATGGGAGACCGAGGAGTTCATGAGAGGATAATACTAAAATTCTGCTTAAAGAAAGAGAGCGTGCGTGTTAACTTTATTATGGTGCAGGACAGGGTCGAACGGCGGGCTCGGCAATAGAGCATTTGGTTCCATGCAAAGAGTGGATTTCTTTTCAAGCTGAATAGCTCTAAGCTACTTAAAAATTCCTTGTAACTTTGAGTTCGTGAATGGATGCGTTAAGAATTGATAGATGTCTCTTATAGTCATAATTTTGAACCCATAGACTAAGGCTGTATCATGCGAATGTTAGGATACTACTGTATATACCTTATTACGTATTATGAAATACACACGACAGATAGAGAAGAAATTTATGTATGACTCATGAAGAACAACTAGTTACAAGACCTGTTCTTCCCACTAATTTCCTGAAATGATTAAATTATTTATCTTTATTATATCATACATCTTTAATAAACGCTTACCCAATGCTTGTAATTAAATGCAGCCTATAATAAATTACCCTTCTATGTGATCTTTAATAAAGTTCATAAAAATAAACAATCTTAATAACAATCACTATATTATTCTTACTTACTTACTCATGCAGCTGAGCCCTCCTGGATTAGCCGCCAATTCTGCAGCTACTCAAGAATTCCCCAGCATTTTATGGAACCCGAAGGTTCATTACCGCGTTCACAAGAGCCCTCCACTGGTCCCTATCCTGAGCCAGATCAATCAAATACATACCATCCCATGTATCTCTCTAAGATCCATTAGATTAGTCTAAATAGATCGCTTTATGTATTAAATCGCAATGTTGCGTTTTAGAATCCTGTTGCACCATATTCTTTCTATATATTCGTTTCCGTCTTCCGTATAACTTATACTAACAACAAAAATAAAAAAAAAACTTCGTGGCCTGCAGTCCGCAAGCGAACTATACCGACCGAGCGACCACCGCTTGTCGGCGAAGTTAGTGCCAACTTTAGCGGATAGAGGGTGTCGCGTGGTCAGCGCAACGGATCCCGACGGCCGTTAATCTCGGTTTTCTAGACCGGAGCCGCTATTTCCTTGACATAGCTCCTCAATTATCCTCACGTGGTTGAGTGGACCCCGTTTCAGACCCACTGCTTCTCAGATAATCTGGTAGCCCAGGAGTCGAAACCAGGACCTCGGGATCTGTAGCCAGGAACTCTTACCAATAGACCACAGAAGGGATCATAACAAGTTTAAAATTAAAAATTAAACGAATACCAAATATTAAATGTGTATTTAGTCGACTAGTGTGAAAACAGCTGTGGACACAGTTGTTTATATTGCGTCCTTATACAATTACCTAGAAACAAACTAAGCAGGGAAGAGAGGAAGATGCGGAAAGTATCGAAGAATTTTATGTTATCGATACTGATTTTAGGAGCCGTGTAAAATATCTTTTCTTACTAAGTTATATTTGAATATCATGACATTTCGTTACGTTTTGTGTTTGCTGACTCATATCCTCTGGACCTTAGCTGTTTAAATAAATACGTTGCATTCCTAGCCCGTATATGTCTGTGTTGTGTCAGTCACGCGTGACTAACTTGGCCTGCATGAACACAGTTGTCAGGGTGAACTGTAAGCAGCACAACCAAAATACAGCAAATTGTGTGTAATTAAAAAGAATCCACTTTAAAATGCAGAAAAGTGTTTGTTCATTCATCAGCATGAGCTGGAAGCCTCACTAAATTTGAACGAATTCTGACGTAGCATCATGTTATGACCACTGAGCATAGCTTCTTGAGAAGCCAATAGTCGCTCAGTTGATCAAGAGATTTTAAGGATATATTATTTATCCTAGTAAATATGGGGCTGCAGTAGAAAATTGAGTTATTATATTTTTTTTTTTTTTGTATTTGTTAAGTCATGACTGGTCAGTTTGGACATGCTACTAAAACCTTAACCTATTCCCAAGGTTTGAATTGTAACAACCTCTTTCACGTGGTCTTCAAAAAATTTCTGTCATAAGAGCAATTCCACGATGACTGAAGATTGATATCCATTTTTGAAAGAAATGGAGAAATATGGATGACAGTATAACAACATATTATGGTGGATTACATAAGAAACTCTGATCACTTTTCAGAGTAGAAAAATAAGGTAAATTTAGCACTGTATGCCTGTTTTCCTCTTTGAGATATTTAATACAGTACACAGGACTGTGGAGGCAGGTGGTAGCGTAGTTGGTTGAGGCACTATGCTACAAGCCGGATGGTAGCGAGTTCGATTTCCGATGAGGTGGATTTTTTCCACTGACCTAATCCTTCCAGCAGCACTATGGCCCTGGGTCTGACTCAGCCTCTAACAGAAATGAGTACCAGGAAACTTCCTGGGGGTAAATGGCGGCCAGCGCGTAGGAGTGACAACCTTACCGCCATCTGTGTGCCGACTGTCCAGAGATAATGTGGGAGCCTTGATGCCTCTTAACCCTATTGGCCTCCAAAGCCTGTTAAAGGCATAACATTACCTTTTTTACACAGGACAAAAATATGGTTAGCTTCGCAAAAGTGGGTACGTGTAAGCAATAAGTGGATATCACGGATGCTGATATAGGCAAAATTATAAAATAATCTGAAAAATATATCCTTTCTTGAGTGGATCTATACCTCTGCATTGTTGCTGACTCCTAACCGTCTTCGTGCAACAACGGTCTGTTCGAGGCAGCGACATGCAATTTTGTCCCACACATCCGTGTAATCCCCTCGTACACTTCCTCACTTATTGCGTCGTACTGAAAGTGCACTCGTCAAGATCTTTGCTGTGTTGACAAAAATTCATTTCAACGGTAAGACTGGATAAGCCAGTTTCTGCAACAGCCAAATGATCACGCAAGAAATATTCATTGTGAAAAAATGTATTCTGTATTCGTCTATATGTCCTGTTATTAATATCATATCTTTCTGTTTTTCCTTCTTCTTCATGTAACTCTTGTTTTTCGTCTGTGTCCGAGAGAGAAATTCAAGATAACAAACACAAATCCTTGAGCCAAAATTACCGATTTTCACAGCCGAACAAACAAACAATTATTCAAACTCCTGAATGCTTACTGAACAATTCCTCCTGGCACCTGAAATTTCTAGACGCATAAAATCTATAACAACTGAAAACTAGAACAGCGCTATGTTTACGTTGAGACATACCGATAAGTTGTCATGGAAACGGACGGAATTGATCCGTCGGCAAGGCATGCGACGAACCATAGTTTATACGGCAAAAAAAAAATTGCTTTAACCTAATTTATTTCATTCATAAGCAAAAGACTGGCCTATGGTATCATATACTTGTGTTTAACATTTGAGTTATTAAGGGATTTTTATTAAAATTTTTTAAAATATTTTTTTAATTCGCTTAGTTGGGGGTGGAGTCCAACTGGGTCCACTCGGCACGGCGGTCACTAATTGGCCTATTGTACCTTCCCCGGGTGATTATGATGATGGAGAATTTGGTGGAATAAAGATTTGCTGGGGAAACCAAAGTACTCGGAGAAAACCCGCCCCAGCGCCACTTTGTCCACCACAAATCACACTTAACCAGACCCGGGATCGAAACTGAGCCGCTGCGGTGGGAAGCCAGCACCTAACTGCTTGAGCTATGGCGCGGCCCTTTTATGAAACTTAGTATGAACAACGTGTTCATTTAGGTCTAATTTTTTTAGTGCGCATAGTACAAGGTGGGGTCCAGCTGAGCCCACTCGGCACGTCGGCCACTGACTGGACTATTGTACCTGATTATGATGATTGAGAATTTTGTGGAATGAAGATTGGCAGGAGAAACTGAAGTACTAGGAGAAAACCTGCCCCAGCGTCACTTTGTGCACCACAAATCCCACTTGACCGGACCCGGGCTCGAACCCGGGCCGCCGCAATGGAAAGCAAGCGACTAACCGCTTGAGCTATAAATTAGCTTTAACTGTGATGACAATAGGCAAGGAACCTTTGCAGCTGTGAATATGAGACTGTGTATGAAGATAAGCCGTAGATATTCCTATAAATTCTGCATAAAGCACTTTTAAGATAACAGCTACATCCATGCCGACGATGCGAAGATTGAGCCCATATCTGGCAATCTAATTTAGTCAGCATGTAGAGCCTACACAGACACAAAAGACTATATTTTAAAATTACTAATTTCTAGATCACTGTCTTCTGTGATTTGATACAACGTGGTCTGGTAGGTAGTTATCAACGTTTCGGAAAAATATTCTGCTTTTATCTTCGGGGTCGAAGAACCTCCAGATTTTTATTTTTTGCTACTATATTATACGGTGTCAAACTTTTATATTCAATGCCATGAAAACTTAAAATAAAAAATACCAATTTATAGTTATTTCTAGCCTAACCATATAGACAAGCATATGAATCAAAGCAGACCCTGGAAGTTCGACCTGAACGTCTTGTATTAGTCAACGTCGTCTTCGCCATCATTATTATCGTCTTCGTGGATTATATTCGTACATGTCACTGACCGTAGTGTCATATTCCCCTTTCTTTCCAGTACCTCCTTGGACTTCCTCTTACTCTTTGCCCGGGCCATTTGCTACTCTGCGTTATCTTCAGCCACTTGCCTCCGACAGCTCTGTCTGCAAGTATCTTCATCTTCCTGTATTTGTTAATCAATCTATATTATCGATAATAAGTTTTCACGCATTTCAGTGTTATTTTCTTCCCTAATCTCATATATCCGGATAAGGGCCTCAGAATTTTCCCCTCCTTTTAATTTATAAAAAGGAAAAGTCGACCTACGTTCGGCACTGATAAAGAAAGACTGAAACGCCACAAAAAGCAAAAATAAAGAGAAGTTTCAGAGTGTGTATAATACTAAAAGTCATCAACAAGAAAATGCAAATACGTAATTGTATTAAGGGAACATAGAACCTCAAGAGGCTTAATATCATCTAAAGAGCATGTAATTCAGAAATTACGAAATGATTCACAAAGGGAACTTTAGCGAAGGATAAACTGCAGAACGGATATCAGCTGTTTAAGCTTTCAAAAAGAGTGTTACTTACCTACTCACGGAGCTGAGCCCTTCTTGAGGAGCCGCCAATTCTGCAGCTACTCATAAAATTCGCAGCATTTTATGGAACCCGAAGGTTCATTGCCGTGTTTACAAGAGCCCTCTACTGGTCCCTATCCTCAGCCAGATCAATCGAATCCATATCATCCCATCCTCTCTCTTTCTCTCTCTCTCTCTCTAAGATCCATTTTAATATTGTTCATCCACCTATGCTTTGGTCTTCCCAGTAGTCTCTTTCCTTTTGGCTTTCCCACCAATTTCCTACATGCATTCCTCGTCTTCACCATTCGTGCTACATGCCCTGCCCACCTCATCCTCCTTGACTTAATCATTCTAATTATATTTGGAGAAAGGTACAAGTTATGAAGCTCCTCATTTTTAAAAAAAGAATGGTACATGTTTAAAAGATGTTTAAAAAATGTTAATATTTTGTACACGGACTTTTTTAAAATAAATAATTATCCTCGAAACGTCCATACCATTCTTGTGACTCTCCCCACACGTTACACTGGGGTGGGGAGTGACAAGCTGAGTCCGGCGAACAGCTGTCAAAAGGCGGCTTTGTGTTGTTTCATGACAATGGTCGTCCCCACACTCCAGCAATTACATCCACCACATCCGTCGGATTGTCCCGTTTGGACCCATCAAGTAATTCAAGAGGCCAACGCTGAGTTGAAGAAGGTGCATACGTGGCTTGGCGCCCGAAACAAAATGTTTTCTTCTAATGGCGCATATAATCTTGTGTAACGCATTGAAAGCAGAGGGACTATGTCGAAATGTAATACCCTGCAAGTGTTCTATTCATTCATTCATCAGTAATCTGTCAGACGACAGGTCCACAGTCTCTTCCAAAACAGTTCCTCCACTTAATGCGATCTAGAGCTTTCTCCTTCAAATGAAAATATCCTCTTCTGTCCCCAAGGTCATCCAGCATCTTCTTACGTCTTCTTCCTCGTCTTCTTGTCACTTCTATCCGCCCATCTATCTTTCCTTCGATAGCTTCTTTTAGAAGGCAGTTTCTGCGTAAAACATGACCAATCCAATTAGCCTTCCGTTTTCTTATTTCGTGTAGGATATTCCTCTGCTCACTGACTCTAATTAACACTTCTTCATTTCTCACATAATCGGTCCAACTGATCTTCTCCATTCTTCTCCAACACCACATTTCGAAACTTTCCAGATGTTTCTGATCTACTGCCCTAAGTGTCCATGTTTCAGCCCCATACAGAGCTATGCTCCAAATGTAGCATTTCACTAGTTTCTTCCTCAAATTTAAGTCCAATTTGCTGGTAAAAAGATTCTTCTTCTTGCTAAATGCAGCTTTTGCCATGGCAATCCTGGATTTAATTTCACAAGTACACCTTCCATCATCTGTTAACAAGCTACCCAAATATTTAAAACATTTCACATTCTCATATTTAATAAATATATTCCTGATCTTTCTGACTTACCCTCTTACCTGAACGGTATAACAAATGGTATGGAAATGTATGCTTTAGTGGCCTGTACTTCATTTTCCATGAGAACGAGGGCTCGTCAGATCATTATGTTATCATTAGAAAGTTACTAGATAGGCCTCCTATCTTAAACACATTTCCGGTATTTACACGCCGGTGGGAAATTCAGACATAATTTACAAAAGACTTTCCTCAGGAAGGTTTCCTGCACAAGGTAAAACGGACCCTGGTTAGTAGACGGACTTTACAATGTTGCGTGAACCCTTCATAATGAGGCATAAGACTCACAATTTTTTGTGCTGTTTGCAATAAAGCATATCTTGGTTGTTGCATTGGGCGGTCACTAATTTATCCTGCATAGAAAAGTGAAGTTTTCTTTCTGTTTCAGTAACCTGCAAACTAAAAAGGCGTATATGAGAGTGGAAGACAAGTTCTATGTATTCCTAACCTCGGTACTAGATAAAGGTAACCAGCCAGCTTGACACTCCAGCAGCTTTGAACCCGGGGAATATTCCATAGGATAGAAGGCTTGGCAGCTTTAACTTCAGGCCACATAAAAGTCGGGGATTTCTTGAACAGTTAAGCAACTACACACAAGCTGCTCAAGAAGGGGTCGAGGAACGAGTTAAAGAAAATAAAATATTGTGTTCAAATACTCTTTGTATATTAATACTGAATTGATTTTGTTTTAAAAGTTTTGATATTTTGTTTTTTATCTCATTAAATGTAAAGGTATCTCTGTAACAAACCGTGGAAGCCCATCAGATTCTGAGCGTTGAGGGTCCCACATTATCTAGGCAATCGGCTCACAGATGGCGGTAAGGTTGTCAGCCTTACGCGCCTGTCGCCCTTTACCCCCAAGAATATTCCTGTACTCATTTCTGTTAGAGGCTGAGTCGACCCCAGGACCTAATTGGGATCCGATCCCGCGGCCTTCCGGCTTGTAGCATTTTGCCTCAACCAACTCATATTTTAATATGTTTTCTTTGGTTTTGCGTAAGACGATTAATTTCAAATTAGGGCAAGTCAGGAAATGGAGATATAGTTAACAATTCGGTGGGTTCATTCTGTTAATACCTTTAGATCGTCAAGATGCGACTGCTAACTTTTGATGCCTTCTTGTAAGTAGCGCAAAAGAAGAGGGGAGAGAGAGCGGAACAATAGAGCGACAGAAGGGCATGAA